CCGGTATCGGTCCGCGGACCGGCGGTTGGGGACCCCTGATCTAGTGGTATCAGGGAACAGCCCACAATGTTTTGTGCTGTGCTCACCACCCTCTGTAATGTCTTTCTATCCACGGCTGTCAAGCCAGCATACCACACCGTAATGCAATATGTGAGGATGCTTTTTATAGTGGACCGGTAAAAGGAGGTCATCAGTCATTGTTCCACTTTATTCTTTCGCAAGACCCTAAGGAAGTGGAGTCTCTGTTGGGCCTTTCTGGCCACCTGGGTTGTGTTGGTTTTCCAGGTGAGATCTTTGCTGAGGTAGACTCCCAGGAATTTAAAGGAGGAAACTCTCTCCACACAGCCCCCCCCCCTTGATGTAAAGTGGGGCGGGTTCCTCTTTCTTTTTCCAGAAGAATAATGCAGATCAGTAATTCTCAACTTTGGCAACTTTCAGATGTATAGGCTTCAATACTTAGAATTCTTGACGTACAGATAGTCCTTGATTTACAATCATTCATTTAGTGACTGTTCGAAGTTCCAGCAGCACTGGGAAAAGTGACTTCTAGCTGTTTTTCATGCTTATGACCATTGCAGCATAGCATCCCTGTGGTCACATGATCAAAATTCGGACACTTGGCAATTGGTTCATATTTATGAACAGCTGCAGCGTCCCTGGGATCATGTGATCCCCTTTTGTAACCTTCTGACAGGTAAAATCAATGGGGAAGCCAGATTCGCTTAACAACCGTGTTATTAACTTAACAACCGCAGTGATTCACTTAACAACAGTGGCAGGAAAGGTCGTAAAATGGGGCAAAACTCACTTAACAACTGCCTTGCTTAGCAACATAAATTTTAAGCTCAGTTGAGGTCAGATGTGCCTTCAGAAGTTGTGGGAATTTCTGTTAACTCTGTTAATCTGTTAAATCTGTAAATCAAGGACTACCTGCATTTTTTCATTTACTGGACTTAAACAGACCGATCTTCCCCATTTGGTCTTCTAAAATAAGATTTCCTGCACTTTTGTCATTCCTAGCCCAGCCAATCCTTCTAAGGCAGTGTTTTTCGACCTTGGGAACTTTAAGATGAATGGACTTCAACTCCTATGCTGGCTGGAGGATTCTGGGAGTTGAAGTCCACACGTCTTCCCAAGGTGGAGAAACATTGCTCTAAGCCAAGGGTCTTCAAACTTGGCAAGTTTAAGATTTGTGGACTTCAACTCCCAGAATTCCTGAGCTAACATGACTGGAGGAGGAATTCTGGGAGTTGAAGTCCACAAGTCTTAAAGCTGTCAAGTTTGAAGACCCCTGTTCTAAGCTGAAAAGCCTAAACCTGCACTTCTGTCTGTTAGGGCTCCAACAAATTCACCCTCATTCAAATCATAAGTCTCTAGGCGCATCTCTCAGAGTAAAAAAAAATTGATTTATTAAGAGTGGCCATGTTGGCATTAGCTGGGTGCATCCGACACTAAAATACACCATTCATTTCCCCCTTGACCCTGGTTTTCCCCTCACCCCCTGGGTATATATTCTCAAATGGGACACATCCATAGCCAAGAGTCGTCAATCATGCTTTGGGCTGCCAAGGCAATTATCTAAGGCATTTAAGGAATGCGCTGCATTTCCTCCACTTCCTTTCTGCTCGCAACTAAAAAGACCAAAGGAGCTTTTTGTTTGTTTGTTTGTTTTAGTTGACACTGTCATTCCTAGCCCAGCCATTCATTCTGAGCCCGTGTTTTTCAACCTTGGGAACTTTGAGATGAATGGACTTCAGTTCCTATGCTGGCTGGAGAATTCTCTCCACCTCTTCCCAAGGTAGAGAAACATTATTCTAAGCTAAAAAGCCTAAACCGCTGTAGTCCCTCTTCAGCGCTCCAACTTCGGATAGATTCAGATCCCCCCCCCCTTTTTTTTGCAGTGTTTCCAGTTCTGCATGGCTCCCTTTTCAAAGTGATAGCCAAGGTTATGTGGACAAGAGCCCCAGTGATTTCTAAAAAGCTGGGAATGATAGAAGTTGAACTGCAACACATGAGAAGTCCTCAGCAACCTGTCCACCCTAGAAGCCTTGTTTCTGTTCCTGTTCTTTGACAGGAGGGGAATTCCCTCCGTGAGGATCTGGAAGGAAGTACTGGTTTCTGAACAAGAATTTCCCCCGAGATCAGCATTTTTAAGATGTGTCAGCCCTCAGCCCCCGAGGCAGCCTTCGCATTCCTTTAACTTTAAGAGGTTTGTGGCAGAGGTTATCGCCTAACAAATAAAAACTATAATAACACTGATAAGGAACACCTTAAATTGGCTCTGGAAGGTCAAGAAAACAAATAGAAGAGGATATCTGAAGCTCAGGTTCAATTGTGGAGGCCTTGGTGATCTCTGAGCGTTGTGGTTTGCTTGCAGACCTCTAATCACCCCTCCAACTGGGAGGGAGTGTGGGGCTTGATCCCTGTTTATGTTGTAGTTTATGTACAATATAGTAGCTTAGATATTGCATATCGTGTGTACACACACACACACACACACACGATATCCTAGGTCATTTGCTGTATTGCAACTTCTTGAGTTCTTGTGGTGTAATTTCCCGAGTTTTCTGATGTGATATCCTGAGCGGGTGGCTGTGATGTAGCATTCTGGGTTTTAGTCTGGCTTCGAGTTTGGGGTCTGGGTCTGTGTTTTTGGCGTGAGTCAGCTTGTTTGGTTTTGGGGTCGGGGGGGTGCGACTAAAACCCAGGATATCACAGCACAAGACCAAGGATACCATAGCAATAAATCTCACAAGGTCATCACACAACCCATTACCCAAGCCGTTACTACACAGGAGGCTAATGGAAAAGAGGTCAAAACACAAACGACCCAGGAGATTACAGCACAAGATCCAGGATATCTCCACAACAAAATTCACAAGGCCATCACACAGCCCATTATACCAACATCAACTCCATCAACCAATCAAGAGGCAGCAGCGCAGCCAATGAGCCCAGCACACCAGCCCCCACCACCAGTATTTATAGAGAGACGGCAACTCTGATCACACACTGCTTGCACTGGCATGAAACCGAAAGCACCAGCCTGAGGATGGCGAGTGGGACCAAGATACTCTTAATCTTACATGGGAAAAGACCCAAACACACCTAGACATATATATAATTCAGCTTTGTTCGGGTATTTTCCCACATCATTGTAGTTGTGCTTTTAAAGTTGTAGCAACGTTTCGGCAGAATCTCATCTGCCATCAACAGGCTTCTGTATAGTGTTCATCTGTGAGTCAGACTTTTACAGTGGTTTCAGATTTAAATTTGGGGCAGCCTATTGCTGTGCCAGAATGATTTTTTCTTTATCCTGATTGGTTGGGAGTCTTGGTCTGTGTTTATTGGTCTTGGAGTTTGCTGTGTTCTGCTTGATTGGTGTTTCTAATATCTTCTGTCTGGTTTTTGGCTCTTTTTGTACTTTGATTGGCTGACAACATTGTGTTACTTTATTGGAGGCCTTTAGTGCAGCTTGGCTCCGGGTAAACGGATGGCTATCATTAGTTAGGAAGCTAGGTTTCATCTGGGTGCCTGGTTGGGGTGTGTTTGAGCTGGAGGTATCTGTTTGTGCCCAGGTGCTTGTCTGGCTAGTGGTGTGGAGATTTTTTTGTTTGTGAGTGCAGGCTTCCAAATGATTGACAGCCTGGTGGAATCATCTCTTCTATTCATGCTTTCTGGTCTTTTTTCAATCTCTATGGCTTCTCTGATGATTCTGTGGCTGGGGTTTTCTATAGTGGCTAGGGTTTTGGTGCCATTGAAGTTGATGCTATGACCTGTGGCTTCCATGTGTTGGACTAGTGAGGAAGTGTGTTCCAGCTTTTTGACTGCATTTTTGTGTTCATCCAGGCGGGTACTTATTCTTCTATTGGTCTGTCCAATGTATGTGGCCGGGCATGATGCACAGGGGACTTCGTATATGCCTTGGTTTTCCAGGTCAATTTTATCTTTGGGGTTTCTAAGGATGGCTGCTATTTTTCTGTCTATTTTGAAGGCAGTCTTGATGTGATGTCTGTGTAGTATCTTACTAATTTTGTCTGTGGTACCTCTTATGTAGGGCAGGACAGCTGTTCCATAGGTGTGTTCATCTTCTGGGTCTCTATTATGTCTCAGTGTGTTTTTGTGGATCAAGCCGGTGATTTTGCTTTTGTGGAAGCCGTTGGCTGTCAGTACTTTAGTCAGGGTGCATAGTTCAGTCTTAATGTGTGTCTTGTCTGCCAGGCGTTTGGTTCTAGTAATTAGTGTTTTAGCCACGGAGTTTATCTGTGCTGGGTGGTGGTGGGATTGGGCGTTGAGGTAGCGGTTAGTGTGTGTTTTCTTCTGGTATATGGTGTGTCCTAGTGTGCCATCTGTTTTTTTGTAGATTAGTACATCTAGGAATGGTAGTTGTTTGTTTGTTTCCATTTCCATGGTTTCAACCAAGGCATATATGACCTAAAACTTATTTTTAGTATCAGAAACAAAATGCAATCACCCACCTACCTCTTGGAGTAGTACTGTAAAACTTACTCCATTGAAAATCTTGAGTGCATTCCCTTGTCTCGCTTTGCAATCTCACTATTCTTTCCAATACCACCTTTTTCCCCCCTCAGGAATAAGGATAAAAATCAGTGATTGATGAGACAACCAACCAATCAGATCTCCACAACTTGGGTAATTGTGCTAATTCCTTGGGTATGACACTTTTCCCTCCCACCTCCCACCAGACTCAGGAATACTTTAAATCTCAGCTTGGGAGGAACTAAAATGTATATTCCTGGTGTGGCCAGGTTATTTTGAAAGATTTCGGAAGCTTGTGTATCTCTGCACACGCCCTGTATAGGCTTTTGCCCTGAGACCTGAGTGTATTTTATCTTTATCTTTTGCTTCAATAAAAGGTGAGTGAATTCTGGGCAAGGTGGGGTGGGGGATACAAATCTATGATGTGTTGTCAGACTTAGGCAAAAAGAAGAAAAAGTTGGCAAAATGGGAGGTGATGGGAGAATGCACTAAGGTTATGAGAACCTAAGAATGAGGACCCCAAGACTAAAGGAGACCGAAGCAAAAAAGGGACAAATGGGTTTGAAATATAAGAAAGAAAGAAAGAAAGAAAGAAAGAAAGAAAGAAAGAAAGAAAGAAAGAAAGAAAGAAGAAAGAAAGAAAGAAAGAAAGAAAGAAAGAAAGAAAGAAAGAAAGAAAGAAAGAAAGAAAGAAAGAAAGAAAGAAAGAAAGAAAAAAAGAAAAGGGTGGAATTGAAAAGGGGAGGGAGATAAAATGGCATCCGGTTATTTATTTGATTATTTTCCTAAGGAAACTACTTGTTCTTCCATAAACAGCTTCTTTTGGAGCCAAAGGGGGGGGGGGCTAGGGCGATCTTGAAATTGAGTTCTATCACAATATGATTTTCCATAGAGAAAATCAGTTTAGGAGGAGTATATGTAATATTTCATGCATTTATATTATATGGGATGGGAGTGGGGAAATGCTAAAAGCTATACAGAGCATCTAAAGTTAAAACTGTGGAGCCATGAAAAAGCTTCGGTCAACCATTAACGTGTAATAAATTGTAAGCATTTTTGAAGCCTAAATTAGAGATTTCTTTGACAATTAACAGCTTAATTGGAAAGGACTGATACTTCTTCTTCTTCTTTTCCCCCTCCTCTTCCTCCTCCTCCTCCCCCCTCCTTCTACTTGTACTGTAACTTAGGAGTCCCCAACCACCTCCCTGGTCCATGGACTGGAACTGGGGCACAGCATGCCAGAAACTAGGCTGCATAAACAAGCAAGGCCCCATCCACTGGTTGCAAGCAGCACATGAACCCATGCCCTTCCAGTCCACAGAAAAACCTCTCTCCATGGAACCGGTCCTTGGTTCATCTGCTGTAGATGACATGGATCTGCAAACCATACCACTTACATTTCGCTCAGGAAAGCAAACTTAGCAAACTCAGCATTAGAGGAAAAAGCCTTAGCTTGCAGCTTGAATGGGCATTTAATAGCTAAAGGGCCACTTCTCACTTTCCTCATAGCTACTTATTATGCTATAGAGGCATTTCTTAGAGAATTTTCTTCAGTTCATATAGAACCTCACAATATTTTAATCATTATTTCCTTATACCTAAAACTTTTTAACAGTCAAAATCAGCTCTATGAATTGAGCCAACATCACAAATTAAAAGTACATTTTAATTGTAATTTTACGGTCAGAAAATTATTCACATTGGTTGCTATATTTTTTTTCTTGTGGTGTTTGCTTATATTGCATATATTTTTCATTCACTTGTACTGCCCTTAGTTGTAAGGGCATGCTAAATAAAAATGGCTATTCCAACACAATATGAATTTGCTGAGAAACAAGACCTTAACCCAGCCAATGCTTTTGTACCACTGTTACAACTGAATTTAAAACCACTTAACTACGGACAAATCACCCATGTCTCAATGTCGGCTTGTATGCGTAGTCCTTAACTGATTACATTCCCTTCTTATGACCGTCCCTGTCAGCATAAAACATTTTAATAGCCAAGAAACAGGGAGCAGCCCTCTTTTGCTTAGTTTTTATGAGGGCATATTAAGCAAGAACTAATAAACCCATCCAGATGGGAAGAGTTAATGGTTGGCCTCTTTCCAATCTGCTGCCCTAATGCATCTCAGGGAAGGATGACTAATAGCTTCTGCATTGCTGCAATCCACAGGACTGTCAATCTTTGATCCAGAGTAAACTAAAAAAGAAAAAAAAATCAGATGGCAAATGATGAGGTAATAATGGCCCTAGGGCTGTTTGATCCCTTCCATTCATTAATCAAATTGTAGGTAGGCTTAACAACCGAAGAGAACAGTGAAGCGGTTTAGGACAGAGACCTCCAAACTTGGCAACATTAACATTAAGACTTGTAGACTTCAACTCCCAGAATTCCTCAGCCAGCATGGAGACCCAGGGTTTAGGAACTAGCATAATAGAGAACTTGTTTTAAAAAGATCACTTGTTTTTAAGAATCACCGTAGGTTCCTCTCATTTCACAAAACTTATTCAAAAGCTATTCTGGTTCTAAAGCTCCTTTACTGATTAAGCAAATTGAGCTGCTCAGTGAAAAATTAAGGATTTTTCTTTCCATGTTTACTGGCCAGATAATCTAATAGCTTTTTGGAGATCATCACTTAGAAACTTCCAAACCTGCTAATTGCCAGGTTTTCCAGCTGTAAATATAGCTTTAAATTCTACCTTTGTTCCATTCATCAAGAGAAATCAGGATTTGGTAATTGCACCCTTTAGATTATATTGTAATAGTACAGTTGTTGTTGTTGTTGTTGTTGTTGTTTTGCAGAATCTAGTTTCTCTCACCATATTCAAATCTGTTCTAATGAGTTCTAGATCTCTCTAGATGACCTACAAGGTCCCTTCCAACTCTGATTATCTGTATCTGTATCTCTCCATCTACCTGCTTCTGTGTTTTCCTATCCACCCATAAGGAATGTGAACTTCTGAAAGTCCTTGGAAGGTGCTGCAAGGGACTAGAATACGTGCAACCAACCTTAATTTGGAAAGTGGGGAAGAGAAAAGAATAAATTATTTCTTCTAACTGGAAAGGATGAAGTCATCAGATCCCCAACCCCTTACACTCAGTGGTGGGATTCAATTTTTTTTACTACCGATTCTGTGGGTGTGGCTTGGTGAGTGTGGCTTGGCGGGCGTGGCAGGGGAAGGATACTGTAAAATCTCTATTCCCTCCTCACCTCACTAACCTGCTTTCCAGCTCCATTCTCCTGTGTAAAAGAAGACCCAGCCAATCAGCTGGGACTCGGGAGGCAGAGAATAGATGGGGGCGGGGCCAGTCAGAGGTGGGATTTGCTGATTCTCTGAACTACTCAAAATGTCCACTACCGGTTCTCCAGAACTGGTCAGAACCTGCTGAATACCACCTCTGCTTGTACTCTGTACCACTACACCATCCCTAAGAGATAACTTCCAGCCTTTGTATGAAAACCACCAGGGAAGCCTATCAAAGCCTGTTCTGCTGATTGGCAGCTGTTCCTGAGCTTCTCTTCTTCTTCTGAACTTCTCTCTTCTTAAGAAAAAGAAACTGGACAGCCACTTGTCTGGAATGATATAGGATCTCCTGCTTGAGCAGGAGGTTAGACCAGAAGACCTCTAGGGGTACCTTCCACCTCTGTTATTCTGATATTATTCTGATGTGTGATCTGTATCTACCTCCTTGAAGTTTCATCCCATTAGTCCTAGTTTTGCCCTCTGGATTAAGGAAGAATAATTTGAATGAATGTTCTGAACAGCTCTTTCATCTGTGACCATCTGGGAGAGCAGCCAATAGCACCAAAACTTTAGGAGGAATGATCAAACCAATATGAAATTTCAAGCCCTATTCCTTAAGCCTACTGCTGCTAATCTCAGATTTCCCATTCTGGTTCAAGATTGCATATTTTAGGGTTCTGGTGTTCGTATCTCCCTGGGGCAATTGGATCATTCCTTTTACAAGTAATCCTCAACTTACAACCGTAATTAAGCCCGGAAGTGAATGGTAAGTTGTCGCAGTAATAAATTAAGCCAGTATGTAACCAGATTAGATTTTTTTGAAATATTTTATGGTGGTCATTAACCAAATACCATGGTTGTTAAATGAATCAATTTTTCCCTAATGGGAATTTTTTTTTTTTTGCCAGAGATCAGAAGTAAACACTGGAAACCAGGAAAAAAAAGTCACAAATTGTGGTCATGTGACTGTAGGAAGCTGCAAACGACCATAAAGGTTGCTTGCCAAGTGCCCAATCATATGATTGTGGTTTGTGTGTGTGTGTGTGTGTGTGTGTGTGTGTGTGTGTATGTGCAGCTCTTGTAACTAAAAACAGGTTGTAAGTAGCTCTGGGCAGGGAGTGGGATTCTACCGGTTCGGACTGGTTTGGGCGAACTGGATGTTAAAGTTACAAACCGGTATTTCAATTGACTGGCCTCCTCACCCAGGAGTCTCCATGCGGCCCATTTTCTGTGGAAGTAAGTACAGGGTATGCATGGAGGCTCTGGGAGGGGGAAAATTAGCCTTCTTGAAGTCCAGAAATGGGCCTATTTCCGGATTCTGGAGGGTCTCCAGAGCCCAGGGGAGGCTGTTTTCGCCCTCCCAGAGGCCCGGGAGAAGCCTCCAGACCTTTGGGTGAGCGAAAACGGCCTCACCCAGGCTCTGGAGGCCCTCCGGAAGCCGGAAACAGGAAATTCAGGTAGACCACACCCACCATGGCCACGCCCACCCAGCAACTGGGCAGCGAACCAGTTGCTGGCAGTTTTAAATCCCACCTCTGGTTCTGCAGGACGTCCGTCATAACATAGATTTGTTGTTAAGTGAGCGGTCGTAGGCTGAGGACTACCTATAAACACCTTCGTTAAGAGCGATGTCCATTTTTCTTTGCAGGCTATCCACTATGGCAGTGGTCCCCAACCTTTTTTATGCCGTGGCCCGGTACCAGCATCAGCTGGGCGCCGCCATCTTGTTTTGATGAAAAAGTGCTTCTTTCATCAAAACAAGATGGCGGCGCCCAGCGCTTCCGGTGAGCTTTTTACCCGGAAAAGCTCACCGGAAGCACTTTTTCATCAAAACAAGATGGCGGCGCCCAGCAAACCAGCAGCCCGGTAGGATTTGTTCCACGGACCGGTGGTTGGGGACCCCTGCACTATGGCATCAGCAGGAGAGTCACAGGCAGTGGTCAAAGCCATAGAGACCCTTAGCAGAGGGCAAGATGTACGGAGAGAGACGGAGCTTCTCATGAAGCCTTACGCCAACTGGGAGGAGTTTCTCATGCTGGCGCCCATTTCCATTGCTATCCTAGGGGAGCTGATCTTCATCTCAACAGGACAGGGGGATTTCTCCATCAACAAGTTACCTCCCGAGGGAGGCTTCCAGCACCTCAAATATCCGGAATCCTTCAAGGCCTCCTTGTGCCAAGTCAGCAATCGAGGCTGGACCGCCTTCAATGAAGCCCACGTCAACATGGATCAGATTAGACTGCTAGCCAGCAGCATCCCCAGACAGATGAAAACAATCATACGTCCAGGAGACAGAGGTTGTCACGGCTTTGCTTCCCCATCAGCTCAAAAACCTCCAGGCAGTGACGGAGAAATGCGGCGAGCTGGCCAAGGCGGTCAGGGCCAAATTCACAGATGTGATCCACCTCATCCAAGAACTCCTGGAGGCCTGTCTCAATGCCAAGCGGGGCTACGAGAAGGAGCTGAAGGAAGTGCAGATCGCTCTGGAACAAGCCAAGATCCGAGAAAAGTCCGCCAAGGAAGCCAAGGAGATGGCCGAATGGTACCATCAACAGATGAAGGAGCAAGTGGAAGCGTCTTTTTAACAGTATAAAGAAGCCATGGGCTCCATCCCTATAGGATGGAATGCGGTCGGAATGGAGCTGGTCATGACTCCCACCAAGATTCTGGGGACTTTTTCGGTTGCGTTTAGCCGGATGATGGCAGGGAAGCAGAAGATACCCAGAGAAGTAGCTGAGATGGGTGGAGGCGAAGGACTGAAGAAGAGGATTCCTTTCATCTCAGCCAGCGTCATATGTTCGAAGTCAGCTGAGCTTTTGACTTTTGCTACTAGCTTGAGGAACCTCTTAGATGACCACGGAGGCCTTAAGACCTCCTTGATTCTCGATGAAAAGAGTGGGGAGATCAAAACAGAGCGGGTGAAGAAGAATTTACAAAGGCTGAGAGACTCTATTGCGAAAGAGGACGAGTGTGACCCCAAAACCAAGGCCCAGGAGATTTGCCAAGCTGCCTTGGATATTTGTCAGCAGCTGGAGCAAATAGCCGTATCCGTGGGTAGCATCGGGAAAGTGGGGAAGAGTTTGCTGGATGGAATACACCAGCTCCATAAGAAGGCTTCCGAATTCGACTCCTACAGTAAAATGTACACTCGGTCTCCAGCTTTTTCGCCCAAACCCCCCAACGTGTCCAAGATGGGGGAAGTGGGAAACCCGGGAGTGGAAAACGCCCGCCTTAAAGCCCAGCAGAGCCGAGAGGCCTTGAAGGCCACCAGAGATGAGTATCAAAGAAGCTTTGAAAATTTCAAGAAGCAGAATGAAGAACTGACCGAGACCCTTTGCGCTATGAGAGGGGGTACCAGGTTAAGGAAGTGGATTTTGACACGGCCAGGAAAATGCTCATAAAGGGCCTACAGGCCCTCAGCCGGGTAAAGGAGCAGTGGGAAAAGATGGTGAGGTTTTTCCAAATGATCTCCAACTTAATTGAGACCTGCCTGGTGTGGAGCGTCAAAGAATTTGCCGACACCGTGGATGGGGCCCAAAAGGTCTCCAGCTACTCATCCAAAGCTTTCATGGCTGACCTGGTTTACGGACATGTTTTCAATGCCTCCGGTGTGGCTCAGCTGGTGGCCATGATTTCAGAGACTTATACTCTGGTGTCGGAGAAGTACCTGATGGAGCGGGTGAGCCACTTAGGGCGCCTGCTGGCCATGGAAGCCGAGGAGCCAAGTTTAGCTGCCGAACGAGCCGCCTTGGCTGAAGGCTGCGACGCGGCGCGGAACGCCGTGAAGGAGCTGGTCTTGCAGAAGAAAGCTGAGTTTGAGAGAAGTTTGGAAGCCAGCGCTGAGGCCATCGAAAAGGAGATGAGAGCCATTTTACCTGCAAGCAGGGAAGCTGCTGCTGCTGACCCTCACCTAAGAACGGTCAGCCCTGAAGAAGAAAGCAAGTTCATATGAATCCAGGATCTTGGAGGAACAGGGCAGCCCTGGCAATTATAACCCCAAAATTTGATCACTGTAGTTATATTTGGCTATTATCCTCAATTTATTATCACAATTGAGCCTGTGGTGAGATTCAAAATTTTTATGACTGGTTCTGTGGGCGTGGCTTGGTGGGCAGGTGAAGGATACTGTAAAATCTCCATTCCCTCCCGACTCCCGGGGGAAGGGTACTGCAAAATCTCGTTTCCTCCCCACCCCACTAACCTGCTTTCCAGCTCCATTCTCCTGTGCAGGGCAACAAAAGAAGAGCCAGCCAATCAGCTGGGACTCGGGGGGCAGAGAATAGATGGGGGCGGGGCCAGTCAGAGGTGGGATTTGCCGGTTCTCCGAACTACTCAAAATTTCCGCTACCGGTTCTCCAGAATCGGTCAGAACCTGAATACCACCTCTGAACTGAGCCCAAAATTTATGCTGCTAAGTGAGAAATTTCTGAAGTGAGTTTTGCCCCATTTTATGACCTTTCTTGCCACATTTGTTAAAGTGAAATCCCTGCAGTTGTTAAAATGGTTCCCATGTCGTTATAGGTGAATCTGGTGTCCTCATTGTCTTTGCACAAGATTCCAGGTCACAGCAACCATCCTAAATGTCAGTCAGTTGTCGGGCATCCGAATGTAAATCACGTGACCCTGGGGATGCAGCAACGGTCATAAATGTGAAAAACGGTCATAAGTCACTTTTTTTTCAGTGCTGTTGTAACTTCAGTCACTAACTGTTGTAACTGGAGGACTACTTGTATGTTTTCCAGTTTCTTTGAAAAAGTGACATTATGACCGCTTTTCATACTTACAACCATTTCAACATCCCTTTGGTCGTCATGCGATCAAAATTTGGATGCTTTGCAACTGGTTCATATTTGTGACGTTGCATTGCCCCGGGGGGGGGGGGGGGGGGGGGATTAGCTTTTGCGACCTTCTGACAAGCAAAGTGAATGGGGAAGCCAGATTCTCATAACGATGTTGCTAATTTATCAGCTGCGGTGATTCACTTAACAACTGTGGCAAGAAAGGTCATAACATGGGTCAAAACTCACTTAATGGATGTTTCACTTAGCCACATAGATTTTGGGCTGACTTGTGGTCGTAAATCGAACACTACCTGTATGTTTTATGTGTAATGAAATAGTAAAAAGAAAAACCATTGTAGTTTGATTTATTGATAGATGTTCTCACTTGCTTATTTAGTTTGAAGAAATAAATAGAGTTTAATAGTTTCATCACAGTTGGGTTATTGCATCTTTTGGTAAAACCAGTTATTCTCTCACCGATCTTGGTTACTTTTTTCTATTTTATAGTACCTTTAAAAAAAACTGCTTTACTTCTTTACTTCCCCAAGAGCATTAGATGCTTAGGATTGCTGGTTTTGTTTTGAAGGACAAGCAACATCTTATTGTATAGGCTGTTCTGGGTCACATGACCAGGAAGTAGGTGAGGGCAGTGGTGGGATTCAAATAAAACTGGTTCTCTGGCCTAATGACTGGCTGGGTGGATGGGTGTAATTGGGTGGTCATGTGACTAGGTAGGTGTGGCCAATACAACATCACTCTTATCACTCATCACCACTCTTTGTCATGCCTGGCCGTTCATCTAGCTGGAGCGAATAGTTTTCAAAAAAGAATGCTCGCCTTGTGCAAATAAATAACAAACATCTTGACTTCAGGTTTGATGCATCTGAGCATTACAGCTCATTCTAGTCTCCTTTCCTATGAACAGGTCCCTCTCAGATTATAATTTGCAACAACCTCTCTTGTCTTTTGCATCATTCTATGGGAGATTATTCTGAAATGTTATCTGTGATGTTTGCAGCTCCTATACAGCTATCACAGCTATACAGAACACCCTGGTAAAGCAAACTATACCTCTCTCCCAAACAGAGTATACAAAAGATCAAGAATTCAGAAAAAAAAATGAGGCTTCACAATTTCTTGGCACGTGGTATATACATCTTTTTTAATGTTCCTTTCCATTCTGGTCTCTGATCCAACCATTTGCTGCTGTCATTATGTGATATCAAATTGGTGTCAACTCTCAGCACCCATATAAATAGATCTTCCTCAGACTGATCTGGTATTCCAATGATATTTCCATTGTCACTGTAATCAGGTCCATCCATTTTGCAGCTGGATATCATTTTTTTCCCCTTCCACCTTTGAAAGGACTATGGACCTCTCAAGCAATCTGGGTCTTTGCATAATGTATCCAAATTATAATGTAACCCAATCCTGGCCACTATTTTGAGTGAGAACACTGGATTGCTTTGTTTGATGATCTATATCTTTGTATAGGCAGGACTCTTCCCCAAGTTCAAAAGAGTCAATATGCTTTCTATCCTGGTTCCTTAAAAGTCCAACTCTTAAGTCTTTATTAAGCATTGTTTATTAAGAATGGAATGGAATTCTTTATTGACACAAGGAATTTGTCTCCGTTGCATAAGCTCTCAATGTATGTGCAAGCAGTAAGTGATAAATCATGATTATAATCATGAAATACAATCATCATAAATCATAACATACAACACTGAGTTGATCGTCATAACATACAAAATAAGCAATCAACACAAATCATAATAGGATACTAAATAAAGGCAATCAGTATAAACCATGAGATACAAACAACAAAGCTATAATATGCTAAAGGAATAGGTAATAGGAAAGACAAGAAAGACAGGGCAGGAAGTACGGCTTGCCTTCATTGTCTCTGCCTGTAGTGGAACACATTGAAAGCAGGTAAAATCTTGCACCACAGGTAGACATAGGCAATCTCTATCCTCACTACAGTCAACGGGTCTAGGAAATTAAACATGTGGGAAATAGAAGGTCAAGTTGAAAGCTACACTTACAGCGCTCTCTGCACCACAATAGTCCACAATAGTCAGGCCAGACCAGTTTCGAATTTCCATGCGATCGCTTGCAAAGAGGGAATAGAATGGACTTTCTCTTAAAAACAGCCATCCTAACGCACCTCGACGTTTTAAACTTTAACCAGTCTGTTCTTTGCAATGCTACACTCTGAGCTAAGATCTCAAAGCTGCAGACCACACACCCAGAGGGGGTAGCTGCTTTGAGTGCTGAGAAAGGGCAGCATGGAAGCAGGCTTGGAAAGGGCAGCATTGAAGCACGCTTGGAAGGTGTAGAGGTGGGACATGCTGCTGCTGTTGTAAAAAGAGAGCTGCCCCCCTTCAAAGTCCAGGTAGACCCCCACTTTTTCCATCCTCCCACAGACCGAGAGGGGCGTACGGGGATCACTCAGGGCTTGGTACTCTCCCTCCTTCAGCTCAATAGCCCACACCCCTTCCTCGGGCAGAAAATTCAGCCAATTTTTACGCTTCACAGACTTTTTGGCCATCCCCACTATCCAATCGGGACTGTCCCCGACTTGGATCTCCCAGTAGAAGCGCCCAGTGGTAATGCCCTTCCGTCCCACCACATACGGGGTATACAGGGTGGAGGTGAAGCTGCCCACGCTTTGTTGCCCGTGAGGTTGGCTGGGGCTGAACTTGACCCCGGTGTCGTCTTCCATGAGGACCAAGCTGGGATGAGCTGAGTTGTAGTCCAAAGTGATGCTTGCAGGGACTGGAGAGGGAAGATGGAAAGAATTCAGAATGAACAAGAGCAGACTTGTAGAGCAGGCAATTGCAGGAGTATAAACTGATCCAGGAAAAAAAACCAGACACAAATGAATGCAATATTAGCCAGCTGTTAATAAAGCTTCTGCCGTCCTCAACGTGTCTGAAGCTTCCTTTCTCTCTTTTAGCCCAAACTACATTACGGTGTAATTATAGATAATAGGGTCATTAGAGCAGTTAAGCAATTATATTTGGAAGAGGGGGCGTGCATAAGCGCACCAACGTGCCTACCGTCCCTGTCCTATTGTTTCTCTTATTCTTTTATTTTTCTTATATGTACCCATTTCATGTATTCACAACTATGTATACATTTATACTTATTATCTTGTAAACAATTGGCAAATCAAATAAATAAATAAAATAATGGTAAATGGAAACCAGGCCATAAAAGAACACAGTGGCTCGACACCATCAAAGCTGACACCAGTCAGAGCATGGAAGAAAAGTAGGGTGAGATGTGAAGAGACCTGGCCCATAGAATCGCCAAGAGTCGGACAGGACTGAATGGATAACACCACCATCATTATCATCACATTACAGGATTATTGCTGTGGCGTACATAGCCTTGAACTTCCTCAAAAAATAGGATATAAAAGCAATAAACCAATAACCAATACATTTGGTCTAAAAACCTCAACTCACCTGGATGTACTGCACCCAGGAGCTCCTTCCAGGTGTAGAATTGCAGAGGTCCTTTAAACTCGCCCAGGTTCAAGTCGACAGCCACCACTCCATCTTCTTCCTCTTCCTTCTCCTCTTCTTCCTCTGCTAACTCTTGTTCTTCCTCTTCTTCTTCTTCCTCTTCTTCTTCTTCCTCCTCCTCCTCTTCTTCCTCTTCTTCTACTTCCTCCACTTCCTCCTCATCAACGTCTTCATCAATCTCATTCTCACACTCACCTGTGTCTTCACTGCTGGCACCCTGGCCATCTTCTCCTACCAGTTCAGCATCTAGTTCAGCTTCCTCCGGAGCTCCTTGTTCCTTATTGAGCCTGTCGGAGAAGAGCATCCCAAGGATCAGCCATTTTAGAATAAGCTGCTCCAATTCTACCAAACCTAGAGGAATAATCACAGCTACAGATATACTTCTATAAAAAGATATCTGAGCACTTCTAATAAAAAAAGAATGCTGCATTTATTATATTATTGTTATTGTTGTTGTTGTTGCCTCTTTAATGGATTTTGTGCACTAATGGGAAAAAAGCATGGAAAATACTGGGGGGAAGTGGGAGGATTTAGAATTGGAAGACAGTTACACCTGGGACTGTTTCCTGCTCCATAAATCAGGTTTCATTAGAAGCACCCACGCATTTGTTTAATAATCACAGCAGAGAACAGCACAAGGCCAGCAGAGGATGACTTCCAAAACAGTTAAGTAGGTTCAGATCTGATTACTACTTCTCCGGGAAGCTGCAAAAACCAGGAGAAAGTGGCGGTCCTGCTGTTGCCAAGAAAATGCCCACATCATCATCAGAAGTGAAGACTCGCTCAAGAAAAGCTCCACTTTTTCTTTTTGTGGTTTTATGGTGATTTTAGAAATGATATGGGTAGGAGCCATCAACCTTGCTTTGCCTCTATTCCCAAAAAGGAAGAGGAGCCAATTTTATAATTGTAGCAGAGTTTTCTAAGGGAAGGAACCACCTTCATTTCCATATATTGTATGGAGGAGCTTCACCTACTCCTTTTGCCAAATCCAGCAGCTTCTGAGAGATGGAAGTAGTAGTCATGCCTACAGTTAGGGAGGCTAATATACCCTGTAGGGTCAGCCCTCCCTGTTGGTTCATGCTTTTCTTCCTTTTGTATATTTATTATATAAGTCTTGGATTTATCAACCATTCATTGAGAGGCCGAAGGCACAACAACGCTGAAAAGAGTGATTTACAACCGATCCTCACATTTACAGCCATTGGTCGTGATCAGGATACAGGTGCTTGACAAGCAGCCTGCATTTATGATAGTTGCCATATTGGGGGGAGGTCACATGGCGGCCATTTGTGACTTTCTAAGCTGGCTTGGAGCAATCAAAGTCAATAGAGAAAGCTGGATTCGCTTAACCACTGCAGTGATTCACTTAACAATGGTGGCAAAAAAAAAGTTGGGGGCGACATTTAACCACCACCTTGTTGGTCCTAACTTTGGCTGTAATTTGATGTATAAGAAAAGAGAAACACTACTTACCTCTCTAGCAACTCTTTTGCCTCCTGTGGGAGGGAGGGAAGGAAGGAAGGAGGGAAGGGAAGGGAGGGAGGGAGGGAGGGAGGGAGGGAGGAAGGAAGGAAAAAAATGAGACAAAAGTCAAAATAATTCTTTCCGTGGGTTATCACCCACTTTCCTGCCAAAACATTCTGCATTTTGATGGTGCACAATAAATTCTGCCCTCAGTAGATCATGGCCTAGTATATTATCAGAAAAAAAATCCCAGTGAAATACTATCACAACATACAGAAGGTACATTGTTCAAAGAGTGAGAGATAATCGGTGGAAAAAAAAAGGGATAAAGGAAGGGGATTCCGCAAGGTAATATGTTGGGATGTATATATTGAAAATAGTATTTTGTAATGTATAGATGATTCATAGAGAAAATATAATGCGGAATCTGAGAAAAATACTGTATATATATATTTGTGTTTTATACTAGATAGGGAGATTGATATTAAGGAAGAATGAAAGTGGTTAGCTCGAATTATTAACTAGAGGGGACAACTACTGTATATTTACAGATAAGGATTGATAAAATGACAAATGTGACAGGAAAAAAAAGAGAAATGATAATAGAAAGGAGATGAGAATTTTAGATAACATTGTAAAATAAGATATGAGAATATACTAAGAAAAATGGAAGGAGATATATTACAATTTGGAATTGAATAAATGAACATAGAATTGTGATGAGAACTTTAGATAATATTGTAAAATAAGATATGAGAACATGAATTGGGATTGGATAAGATAAGCTTAATATTTAATAATGACTAGGATGATGCAATATGAAATTAAACAAATAAAATGAATAGGTAACTATGGTCATGTTCGTATTGAGATGTGAAACCTGGAACCACACTGCTTGTCAAATGAGAATTTTTCATTTAAAAATAAAATAAAATGAAAACAGGGAGAAAATTGAATAATGGAATTATTAGGTATGTTTAATTGATATGGTGGTAGGCATTTGGAGAGAGTAAGGTTGAAAATAAATATTGAAGAAGTATGAATTAATATGAATATAATGCAATGAGAGTTGTATGATTATATTGATGCCACTCTGTTAATGTATTGTTATATGTAGATTGAAATAAATAAAAAAATGGGGGGGGGGGGGAATTCTCATCACCTTTCAAAAAAAAAAAAAAAAAAAGAAAAAAAAAGAAAATTGATTTGGCCACCCAACTGACTCTTAGAGATTCCAGGTGGCTTACAAAGATTTAAAAGAAACACAGTGATTTTGTCAGTCGTGACAAACCCTAATAGAACAAATCATGGGGTGAGAAGTTTTATATCCAAATATATTTGATTTTTTATACTGTTTCCATCTTCCCTTAAAATATTAACAGAATCCACAATGGTTTGAGAATCAGTGTCTCCACCTTAATTAAATTAGCAAACTGCCTCAAACCCCGAAATAAGTTACCCAGGCCTAATCCATATATCAAAGGATAAGGTCTGCAAACACAATAGAGTTAATTAATTTCTCTCCCAGCAGAATTGTATGTTCACAAACACACACACAACCCTCAGCACGTAAACACTTCCACATCCCAGACAAGCTCCCCCTATAAAAGTTTGCCACTGTACCCTGTTTCTCTGCAGCCTGCTCTTAAAAGCAAACTGTTTTGCTTTTAGGAATAAATATTTCTTCTTTCCTCATTTTTATTTATTCTTGTGCAACCCTGGCTTGAGTTGGAACCCCAAATTCTTCTTCTGACAATGGTTTGGTGCAATCTACGCACCCAGCAATTTTCTTCTTCCTAAGAAAACCCCACACAGCCCCCAGTCCTCCTTACCTTAAGGAAACTGATGTGGTCTTTGCATTCAAGGCTGGCCTGTATACAACACAGTGTTTCGGAATGTGAGGCCATCTTGCAGTCCAGTTCCTTTAACTTGGTTTCCATCTGTGCCAAGTTTTTTTCTCTCTGGTCTTCTAAGGCCTGCTTTATACTCCGCTCTCTGTCGTTCAGCAGCTGGTGCATCTTCGCAAACTCTTCAGAGACATGATTAGACAAGGATTCGGAGCAGGTCTGGAAAAACATAGCAAAAGATTGCAGTTTGGTCAAACAGAAATGATCACCTGTCACAATGGGGTTGTGTTTTTGGGGTAGACTCCTGAGAATACCTTGGATAGTCATGAAAAAATAAATAAATGGACCATCAAACAAATCAACTCATTTGATTTCTTATTTGAAGCACTAATGATTCAAAACATCCTACTTCGGGCATGTGATGCTAACCTTCTGAAAGAGACTCTAATATTAGGAAAGATGGAAAGAGAAGATGAGGAAGAACAAAAGTAAAGATGGTGGACATAGTTACAATGGCAATGGGGGCACCATTAGAAGATCTGAAAACCAGGTTAGGGATAAATCGTCATGGAGAAACTCCGCTTTGCTAGGAGTTGAAAACTACTTGATGGCATATAATTTATTTTATATATTTATTAAACTTATATGTCAGTCATTTCACTGTCAGGTAACCCATAATCAATCAATCAATGCCACTATGATGATTACCTAAGCAACACCAGCAATTTAAATCTTTTGCCTTTTTTATAATGTAGTGACAGCACACATGTATGCAAAGATGTACATACATACACACAAAGTTCCATTTATGTACACACACACAGAATTCTGTGGGGTCCCTGCTGTTCTGAGCTTGATTTTTTTTCCCCTTGTAGACATTTCATTACTAAACTAGGTGATATCATCAGTGCTAGAACGGAGTGCAAACTCCACTCCCTTCCAGAACGGATGAAGTTACCTAACTGAGTAGTGAAACATCTGCAACAACCAAGTTCAGAAAGCACCAACCGACCCCATCGTACAACCCTGAGCTACAAATATTCCCTTCTATCGGTACACAAAGTTACAGTCCACTTCATGTATCGAAAGGCTAAATTCTTCCATGTTTTGAAAATTGTTTGCATGTCTCAAAGTGTTGTGGTTCGCTGGCAGCCGGTGCGGATTGCAGAGGACAGTGAAGATGAAACGGAACCAGTCAGGGAGCCTGGCGAGGACTTGGAAGAGGGTCCTGCATCTGATGCAGGGATGGGGCCAGGACCATCTAAGAGTGGGGTGCTGCCTTCGGAGCCTGGCAGCAGCGAAGCAGAGGACCCAGGGGAGCCTGTTCCCAATGCGCGTGTGCGCAGAGCTGCTGGTAGGTGAGAGCAGCTGAAGAAGAAGGGGCGAGTAAGGCTGGGAGGTGATTGCCCCTCCCATCAGGGATAAAAGTCAGTCCTCAATGACGAAGAGCTTTGCAGGAAGCAAAGCAGTTCAGTAATCTCGGAGTCCTTCGTGAAGCTCTGTACTCTGGTCGGTTTTTTCTGGGTTTTTGGGTTGGTTCATGTTAGCCTTAATTGGACTTCTGTTTCTTGGCAGCATTTGACAGCACTGAAAAGTGTGCTCTTATCTGGAGGAACTATGTCTAATTAGTTTTGGCTGGGAATTCAAGTAATTCCCAGTGTCGCATTAAAAAAGATTTTACTTTTAAATTCAGTTTGTGGTTTATTAAGTTTGACGAAGCCTGGGTCAGAACACAAAGTTGTATTAGAGGAGAAACTGGGAGAATACAGGTGATGGTAGCATCGGAAGCAACAGTTGCTGGGATGAAGAGAGAGAAGATACACTCGGTTTAGCATTAAACGGAAAGTTCCCCCCCCCTCACCGCTTCCCAGTTGCACCTTTAATTCGATAATGTTCTCCTGCTGGTGGCACTGGCTCCTTTTCAACCGCCTGAGACTTTCCTCAAGAGGCTCCAGAGAGGCCTTCAGTTGGTCCTAAAAGGAAGAGAAAGTTCAGATCTCACTTAAAATGGACACCAGCATTTGACTGATCCCAGGACAACTGTATACCTCCAGCCAGAGGTTCTGCTCAGCTGCGCTTAAAATCCATCAGACCTTCATCCCCCAACCAGCCCTAATAACATTTAATTTGTTAGTTAAGATTGTATTATACTGTGATAGATTTAGTTAGCACTATATTAACTTTTATGTTCCCCTGCATTTATTTATTATTTTTCTTTTTCCTTATGGAATTTTTGTAGTCTGTCTCTCTTTCTCTTTCTGTGTCTGTCTCTCTCTCTACCCTATAGGTGGTCCAATTTATGACCATAATTGAGTCCAAAATTTCTATTACTAAGTAAAAAAATTGTTAAATAAATTTTGTCCCATTTTATGACCTTTCTTGCTACAGCTGTTAAGTGAATCACTGCAGTTGTTAAATTAGTAACTTAACACGGTTGTTAAGTGAATCTGGCTTCCCCATTGACTTTGTTTGTCAGAAGATCACAAAAGTAGATCACATGACTCCTGGGACACTGCAACCATCATAAAGGATGCTGCGATGGTCATAACTGTGAAAAATGGTCATGTTATTTTTTTCAGTGCCATTTAACTTAGAAGAGTATATATATAATTTCTCCCACCCACAATCTTTTTTTTTGACTTCAAGGGAAACCAGAATACAGGTAGCCCTCAATTTATGACAATTTAGCCCAACATTTCTGTTGCTAAGCAAGACAGTTGTTAAGTGAATTTTGCTCCATCTTATGACCTTTCTTCAGTGGTGGGATTCACATTTTTTAACAACCGGTTCTGTGGGTGTGGCTTAGTTGGAGGGCATGGCTATGTGGTCATGTGACTGGGTGGGCGTGGCTTTGTGGTCATGTGACAGGTCAAAAGACTGAAACTCACTTTCTGGAGCACGGGGTTGGAGTAGATGACCTCCAGGTAACTTCCAGCCCTGGACTGCTGTGCTGTAAGACTTGTGGACTTCAACTCCCAGAATGTTAGCTCAGGAATTCTGGGAGTTGAAGTCCACAAGTCTTAAACTTGGCCTAATGGCAAGGTTTGTGGCCTTCCTTCCTCTCCTTTTTCCCTCCCTCCCTCTTTTTTTCTTTTGCACCCCCCCCCCCCCCCCCCCCCCCTTTTTTCCCCCTGGGGGCCAAAACAGGCCCGTTTTTGTTCCCAGGAGGCTTCCCTGAGGCCCACAAGGCCAAAAACGGAGCGCAGGGGTGTGTGTGGAGCAAGTCAGACCGAACCGGTTCTTTGACAGCTGATCTTCAGAGCTACTGGTACACCCGAACTGGTCTGAACCGGTCGAATCCCACCCCTGCCCTTCTTGCTACACTGCAGTTGTTCAGTTGCTAACAAGAGAATGTGGTTTCCCCATTGACTTTGCTTGTCAGAAGGTCGCAAAAGGGGATCCACAAGACCCCCAGGACACTGCAACCGTCATACAGTGGTGGCCAAAATTGAGGAAACCTTTTGGGAAAAGTGTATTTTTATGCCATCACTACCGATCGGGGAGATCTTGGTCTCATCACTCCAACAAGACGACACCTGACTGGCTCTCTAAACACTCATGCTCATTGGCTACAATCAGATGAAGGAAAGCTACCTGGTATCAACCTAAGCAAATTGTGCTTCCTTTTTCTAGTTATTTGGCAATAACATTTCACAGAATAAAGATAATTGAACAAACTTTGTTGCATTACATTCTTGATTAAATTATCTTTCCATTGATATATAATTTTATGGTACTACTCCCCCCCCCCACAAAAAAATGGTCTTATTAGCCATCAAACCTCAAAAATACACTTTTCCCAAAAGGTTTCCACCATTTTGGCCACTACTGTAAAGGCAATTCATCTTCCACTTCCTGAAGATTCACTATTTGATCTATTAGCCACTAAGTGGCTGCAAAGGGCAAGAGTTTTTCTATCTGCTGCTGACATCTTCTGGCATCTGGATTTGTTTACCTGTTGGGTGACTTCTATTGGAGGAAGGTTTAGTTCTGGGAATTGTTTGGGAGTGATACATTAGCTTAAGGACATTATATGAGGAGCATCATCATTGGGAAAGGAATTTTCCCTCCAAGCAGGCTGCAGGCTTACAAAGAAAAACATAACCTTTCAATTACACTTTCAGTTGTATTAGCTAAGCCATTATGGACTGGTCAGTTTAAGGCACTGTTTAGATCACTGTTTCTCAATCTTAGCAACTGTAAGATGTGTGAACGTCAACTCCCGCCAATTCCCCAGTCAGCAAGATTAAAGTTGGTAAAGTTGAGAAACAATGCTCTAGGTTGATCAATTGGTTGATTATGCGCCATTCAAATTATTTTCAGTCCTGTTGGTCACCTTTTGGGAAAAGTGATGAGACCAAGGTCTCCCTGTTTGGTAGTGATGGCATAAAAATACACTTTTCCCAAAGGGTTTCCACAATTTTGGCCACGACTGTATGTGAGATACAGATTCAGTAGTGCTTTTCCATGCGTGTCAAGAGTAGAAATCTAGCTTATATTTACTAAATATTTGGGAGGCTTCAGAAGCTTTGTTTCAGTGTCCCTGTTTATTATGATACTTATTATGATTCATATATGATATGAACCCCAGTTGTATTTTATCTTGGCTTGCAAAATAAGCTGCCTCGAGTAGCCCCACGGTGAGCTAGGCGGCAAATAAATTTCATAAATCGAGAGATGAGAGAAAAAGTGACAGAGGGAGGAGGAAAGGTGGAGAGGGAGAGGGAGGGAGGGAGAGAGAGGGGGGGAGAGACTGACTCACTCACTCTTGTTCAACCAGAGGCCACCTTCTTACTCATCCCAGGTGTAGTTCTCACCTGATAGGTCTGAACCGCGTTTTTGATGGGCAGGAAGTCGTGTCCCCGGTGCTGAGGCAAGTCCCGGCAGATGACGCAAACGGACTCCTCATCTTGGCTGCAGAAGAGCTTGAGAGGCTCCTCGTGTTCCTCACAGAAGTACCATCCTCCGGTGCTGCTCTGCTGAGCCCTTTCGTCCAGCTTCAGAATCCGGGCCTTCTTGGCCAAGCTGCAGAGGGCTCGGTTCACGTGGTGCAAAGTGAAGGGGTGTCGGCACTCGGGGCAGAGCCCTTGACTTTCCCCCTTGGGGATGCAGGGCTCCAGGCAGGGAGCGCAGAAACTGTGGCCGCACTCCAGTATGTGGGGCTCCCGAAAGAGGGACAGGCAAATGGGGCACAGCAGGTCTTCGGTGAAACTGGACACTTCTTGTACTGAAGACATGTTGGTCGATTCCAAGAGAGCCTGAGCAGGTTTCCCAGGTCAGAACTGCTTCTATTTCTGCCTGTTAAATGAACATAGAATAATAGGGTTGGAAGGGACCTTGGAGGTCTTCTAGTCCAACCCCCTGCCCAAGCAGAAGACCCTATACCTTTCCAGACAAATGGCTTCTTCTTTAAAACCTCTAGCGATGGAGCACCCACAGCTTTTGGAGAGGAAAGCATTTCACTTGGTTAGTTGTTCTCACTGTCTGGAATTTTCTCCTTAATTCTAGGTTGGGTCTCTCTTTGACAAGTTCCCATCCGTTACTTTTTGTCCTGCTCTGGAGAATAAGTCAACCCTCCCTTCTCTGTGATAGCCCCTCGAGTGCTGGGAGACTGAGGCAAAGGGGTGCCTGCCATCCCAGATAGATCAGACTTGGACACCAAAGTCACGGATACTAAAACTACTTTTCTTACAGGGTTACAGAAACAGAGTCTGCAGGCGCTTCCTGCCTTTATCCTAAAGTGAACCAGGAAGGATAAACCCTGAGACATTTTCTCAAATTGCATTCCTGTTTTGGACACGGAAATTTTCTTATCTCACCGTTGCCTGGGCTGCAGTCGCTTCCTCCTCTTCCTCAAAGTGATTCTCACAGGCCGTTGCAGGAAGAGGAAACCCCTCAAATGTGTCACCTGCCACCACTTAAACCTCTAAATAAAAAACACCCTCGGCTCCATCTGTTGAGAAAGGCCTGTTTTTATTGGAAGTGCGTTGCAGTAATGCGTAGCCAGAACTCAGCATCGCATGCCAAAAGCCCTAAGTTTAACCTTCCCCCTCCCTTAGCTTCCTCCCATCGCCCACCCCGTGCAACCAATCAAGTTCAGGCAGGATGTTTTTGTAATGGCCAGTTGTGTACAGCTGGTATGCCCAGGTGACCTTGAAACAGCAACTCCAAGAGATGCAGAACTTTCCGCCCTACTTTCTTTTCCCCTCTTGCCTTCCTCCCTCCACCCTCCCCACAATTCATGCCAGTCTGTCCTCAACGTAGAAGCAAGCATAAGATGGCAGCTGACAACATTTTTCTCTGGATCTTGAGGAAAGGTTTTTTTAAATTATTATTATTTCAGCCTTCTTCATTTGAAGAATATTTCAATGGCCATGAACCCTTTAAAAAAAATGAAATATTTTTACTTTGAAATAAGAAAGGAATAATTCTGAATTAAATAGTTCAAATTGTTGTGCATCCCCAACTGCAGTGATTAACAACGGTGGCAAAAAAGACATGGCAACATGGGGCAAAGCTCATTTAACGCCTACGACCACAAAGGAGGTCAAAGTTTCTGTTGCTAAGCAAGGCAGCTGTTAAGTGAGTTTTGTCCCATTTTACCACCATTCTTGTCAGTTGTTAAGTGAATCGTTGCAGTTGTTAAGCTAGTAACCCGGTTGTTAAGTGAAACTGGCTTCCCAATTTGACTTTGCTTGTCAGAAGGTCAGTAAAGGGGATCACCTGACCCAGGGACACAGCAACCATCATAAATATGAGTCAGTTGGCAAGCATCTGCAGTTTGGTCATGTAATTATGGGGCCATAAAGTGTGGAAAAACGATAGTAAGTCCCTATTTATTCAGTGCTGTGGTTAGATTTGAACCGTCACTACACGAACTGTAGTAAGTAGAGGACTACCTGTATTAACGGGGGAGAGGCTGAGCCCACCCACCCACCCACTGGTTTTGGAAAGGGGTCCTTTTGAAAGGAGCTGGAAAGGGGGAGACAAGCAGGAGGCGCTGGGCCTGGTGGTGAAGTGAGAGGGGAGGTGGACGGCTAACCCTGTTCATTTTGATGCATTTTGTAACTTATATCAGCCATTCTAGTTCTGATACATCGCCCCAAAACTTCACACCCTTTAAAAAAAGCCCCAAATAGGAAAACAACAACAATAACAAAACCCCCCAAAGCTAACGAGTCCCCAACTCTCCCTCCCTCCCTCCCGTGCGCCATCCTTGCCTTTTCCACTTCGCGAGGGAGGAATTGTCCGCTCCTTTAAGGCCACACAACACAAAACCCTCCGGAGGCTCAGCCGCTTTTTGCAAGGAACGACGACCAGCTGCACAAAATACCCCACCGCCAAAGGAGACGCTCGCGTCGGCGGGTTGCTGGCTTTGAAAAGTCAGACGGCGCGGGAAAGCAAAAACTTCGGCCGGGCCGGTGCTTTTTGCTTGCTTTTGCAAAGCTCAAGCGGACGGACTCGCGTCCTTCCTAAGAGGCAGCCTTTGTTTTTGTTTTTTTTAAAGTTTCGCTTTCGGCTTTGCAAGCGATTCCTGCAAATCAGGCGCTTTCCCCGAATCAGACCGCAACTTTTCTGCCGAAAGCTCTTCCGGGGAGATTGAAGGTCGTGTGGCTCTCTGGAGGGGGCCAGGGAGCTCCTAAGGGCACCTATGGAAATTCTATGGAATTATGAGGACATCTATGGAAATACGTGTCAAAAAGAGGGCTGTGAAAGTATCTACAGACCCCTCACATCCCGGACATTAACTGCTTCAACTCCTTCCCTCAAAACGACGCTATAGAGCACTGCACACCAGAACAACTAGACACAAGAAAAAGCTTTTTCCCAAACGCCATCACTCTGCTAAACAACTAATTCCCTCAACACTATCCAACTGTTTACAAAGTCTGCATTACTATTACTATTAATCTTTTCGTCCTTCCTATTTACTATCTGTTTCCAACTTATGACTATATTATCCGATCCCATCCCAAATCAAAGCAGCTTTTGGTTTTATAAATGGGCCTCTGGATAGGGAGACCTTTCAGGGTTCCAGCGGTTCTGTTACCAATTGTTGGGAGAAATGTCCATCTGGGTCCAAGTGGGGGAAAAGACACCAGAAACACGGAGGCTGTTTGCAAAGATGGTTTAATGGTGGATAGAATCACCTACCTTGGAGCTCCTGAACAGAAAAGGGAAGAAAATGGCTGAGAGTCCCTGAGTTTTAGGCTCTCTTGTTGGGATTTCAATTTGAGCTTGTATTCTGATTGGTTGTCAAACTCTCACAAGGCCATGCAGGAGCAACTTTGTAAATTGTTTTTTGAGCCCCAGGCTTGGTTGAGCCTTGCTGGATGATGATGTAGTGAAAGGGCTGGACAAGAAGGACGAGAAGCAATGGGTGGAAACATAGAATAACAGAGTTGGAAGGGACCTTGGAGGTCTTCTAGTCCAACCCCCTGCCTAGGCAGGAAACCCTATACCACAAATGGTTATCCAACATCTTTTTAAAAACTTCCAATGTTGGAGCTGTTGGGAGAAATATCTTTCTGGATTCAGTTCCAAGTGGGGAAAAAGACACTAGAAACATGGAGACTGTTTGGAAAGATGGTTTAATGGTGGGCAGGGCCACATGGCTTGGAGCCCCAAAGTGAAAAGAAGGATGATCACATGCTTCAAGATGTTGGGTGATGGAAAAAAAGGAAGGGCTGATATGCTGAGAGTCCATGGGTTTTATGCCCTCTGTTGGGATTTGAATTTGGGCTTGTATTCTGATTGGTTGTCAGACTCCCATGGGGCCATGCAGGCTTGGTTGAGCCTTGCTGGATGATGATGTAATGAAAGGACTTTGGGCAATTCCTATTATAACTCTTTGTTATAATTATAGATTATAGATCTTTGTTATGTAAAATAGACTGGCCTAGGTCAGAGTAATGGTCCAAAATAGCAAAGGTGGGGGTGAGCTTCTGCTTCTGAGGTGAGTTTCTGTTTCTGAGTTTCTACTCTTTTTAGGGGAAATATTCTGCCTTTTTAACATTTCCTAGGATATTTCATTTTTCCAGGAGAGGGGTGGGGGCTAACTTCCTACAGAGCATTCACTACTTCTGGAGGCAAGTTGTTCCACTGGTTAATTGTTCTAACAGTCATTTATTTATTAATCTTGTGTTTATGTAGTACGTATTAGAGGTGGAGAACCTTTGAGAGCTGCATCCAACAAAATTTCATTTTAATGTATGCCGATTAGTGTACATTCAAAGTGAAAATAAAGTTATTCTCTCTGTTTTCCAAGGCACCCAAAGGCACCAGATAAGGAATAATGGATGAAAACTGAACAAGGATTCCACCTGGAAATAAGGAGGAATTTTCTGACAGTGAGAACAATCATCCAGTGGAACAACTTTGCCGTCAGAAGTTGTGGGAGCCTCATCACTGGAAGCTTTCAAGAAGAGACTGGATTGCCATGTCAGAAATGGTGTAGGGTCTCCTGCTTGGGCAGTGGGTGGGGTTGGACTAGATGACCTGCAAGGTCCCTTCCAACTCTGTTATTCTGCGGATATTCTGAGGGTAGTGCTCAGCTTCCAACCATTTATTTAGTAACCATTCAAAGTTACAAGGGCACTGAAAAAAGTGACTTGCCTCCGTTTTTCACACTTATGACCACTGCAGCATCCCTAAGGTCATGTGATCCAAATTTGGAAGCTTGGCAACTGGCATATATTTATGACGGATGCAGTATCCCGAGGTCACGTGACTATCTTTTGCGAACTTCTGACAGGCAAAGTCAATGGGGAAGCCAGATTCGCTTAACGACTCTGTTACTAACTTAACAACTGCAGCGATTCACTTAACAATGGTGGCAAGACAGCTCGTAAAATGGAGCAAAACTCATTTAGCTGTCTCCCTTAGCAACGGAAACTTTGGCCTCATTGGTGGTCATAAGTTGACCTGAGAGAGAAATTTGGGGAGGTATTCCTACCTGCTGCTGTTTCCTAGAAGATAGGAAAACAAAGCCAGGAAAATAAGCCATTTGCATCCTCAGAAGCGCCTTGTTGCACATGTAAGTTGGAGAGCAGCCCTATTTGATGACATAATTCCTACTTTGGGTTAGCAGAGGATCAGGGGTGGGCGGCTACTGGTTCTCCCCAGTTCAGGTGAACCGGTAGCTAATTTTATCATTTTTTAATGGCCGGTTTGATGAACTGGCAAATCACACCCCTGGCTGGACAAGCTCACCCTTCCCAGGTAGTCCTCGGCTTAAAGCAGTTTGTTTAGTGACCGATGGCACTGAGAAAAATGACTTATGACCATTTTTCACAGTTACCACCTTTCCAGCATCCGCCATCGATCATGTGATCGTAATTCAGATGGTTGGCAACTGGCTTATATTTATGACTGGTGCTGTACCCCAAGTTCATGTGATTTGCGACCTTCTGACAAGCAAATTCAGTGGGGGAGCCAGATTCACTTAACAACTGGGGTTACTAACTTATCAACTGCAGCGATTCACTTAATAGCTGAGGCAAGAAAGGATGTAAAATGAGGCAAAACTCAACAAATGAACAACAGAAATGTTGGCTTCAATTGTGGTCGTACGCCAAAGACTAACTACCTGTATTTATTTGCATTTTTGGCCTCCTGACGCCAGTTGGACTTCTTATTAACCCAATATAGTTCTCCATTGCTTCAAAGATCAGTGAACAGCATGTAAGCTGAGGGCAAAGAGCTTCTGATGTTATTGTTCTAAGCATCAACCCTGGAAAAGGCATGCAGAAAGAAAGCAGAAAGGTTATTTTCCAGCAACGGTCCAAGCTTTGAGAAGTGATGCCCGAGTAGTTATGAAGGAAAGTGAAGTGAATCTCCAAGGTCTTTCAATAATAATGAAGTGAATCTCCAAGGGCTTTCAATAATGAGGCGGCCATGTGGCTTTGCAAAGCAGCTCTCAGGCAGATTTCAAGCAAAGCAAAACATCTTTTCTCCGTTTTAATAATAAACCTCCATCTGTTATTCATTTCAAAAGCAGAAGAGGGCGCTACTGCTTAGAAGTTTGGGAGCTTTGAGAGTCCTCCTATAACCGATTTAGAAACAGAAACTAACTAATTTATTTACGGTATTATTATTTTTCATTTGGTAGCACACTCCGGTAAGGTAAGGATATTTTTCTCTCAATCTTTTACAGGCTTATAAAATGAGCACAAAATGT